TGCCCTTCTTAGGGTGAACTGGGACCTGAGGCTGATAAATGGTCACATTTCCCAAGAAAAGTATATTATTTGCTTGATACATTATGCAGAATAGCATTTATTTATTTATTTAAGCAATAGCAAGACATGGGTATATGGAAAATCTCAGATGAATTGGAATTAAAGCTCAAAGCTAAAGGTATAGTAAGTTAACCAAAAGAGGCTCCTAAATTTCATATATAAAAAAAGAATATATGCTGAATAAAAATGAAAATATAGCTTTGAAAGTAATGGCAAAAACTTTCACACTTAGAGAAGCTGAAAAGAACTGATACTACAGTGAGTAATCAGATTATACACCAACACACAGTGGTATGAGTGCATGCACACGTGCACTTGGAGTTTCACTTAGGTGATTTGGAGATTTTGCTAATCTCTGCCAGAGAAATCATTCAGATTTTGTTGTATAATAAAAGTTTATGGAGATTCTCAGTCATCAGCCAGGACATGGTTGTTCCAAATGTGTTTTTTCAGGAGGCAACTAGACTTTCTTGTTTGTTTGTTTTCTTTTGAAGACATTTCACTTCTTATCCAAGAAGCTTCTTCAACTCTGACTGGATGGTGAGGAATGGAAGGATTATATTCCTTGCAGACAGCTGGTTATTTGCATTGTTTTTAGAAAGTTGTTGAGGCCACTTGGAGGTTTATCTGTATCCTCAGGGTCATCTGAGTAGTGGAAATGGGTGCAGAGCCTTCTTGGCTACAGAATGTTTTCTGCCCTGTGTCCCTTCACTGTTGAAGATAGGTGCAGGCTGCAGGGGTTGAGTCTGTGTTGTCTGCATCTCAAACTGAAGGGCAAATGGTTCCTGTAGTCTGCAATTTGGGGGGGAAATCTGTTTATACGCCCACACCATTCAAAGGGTGTTCATCCCAAAGTGCATAGCTAAAAGTATGAAGGTTCTTAGTCATTCAAGTCATGGTTGTCTCAAGGGTGCTTTTTTGCTGAATAGTAATGTATTAACCATAGAGACGCAGTGGTTCAGTGGCTATGATGCTGAGCTTGTTGATCAGAAAGGTTGGCAGTTCAGCGGTTCGAATCCCTAGTGCTGCATAATGGAATGAGCTCCTGTTACTTGTCCCAGCTTCTGCCAACCTAGCAGTTCAAAAGCATGTAAAAATGCAAGTAGAAAAATAGAGACCACTTTGGTGAGAAGATAACAGGGTTTTGTGTGCCTTCAGCATTTAGTCATGCCAATCACATGACCATGGATACGTCTTTGGACAGCACTTGGTCTTCGGCTTTGTAATGGGGATGAACACTGCCCCCTAGAGCCGGAAACGACTAGTATGTATGTGCGAGAACTTTTACCTTTACCTTAATGTATAAACCAGCCTGATTTTTTTTAAAAAGTCACTAAAGTAACCAATTATTTACCAGATCATACAGCATGGTAAGACATGTTTTAACTCTGAGAATGCAAGAAATAGAAGAAATGACTCCAAGCCATGGATTAACTCTAAGAATACAAAAAATAAAAAAAGGAATTGTTTTGAGCTTGGAATAAAATTGTTTCACTTGATAGATTCTTGTTTCATTTTGTTAAGGACTGAGATCTGCTGTTAATTGACCCTTTCAGGAATAGATTATTCCAAAAAAGAAAATGAAACAATATAGCACTGCTACCCCAGACTCAGTTAGAAAATAAATCCTGCTCAATTTATATTCAAAGTGTAAAAGAAAAGAATGCATACTCCCTTAGATCAATCTTTTTATCTTTGAAGCTCTAACAGCACAGGAAAAAGAGCTCAAGAGAGAAAGAAAATCAGGTTTTGTGCGGAAATTATACTGTTTCCACATGACCATTCACAGCATGAAAACATAACAAAATTGAATGAGCTAGACCAAACCAACATAATTTTAGCATTTTTAAAATGCTTTCTGAAAGTTCCACTGCAATAGGTCATTGTCCCAAAGTCAGCCAATAGGTTCTATCAGCGAGTCTCGATTTAAATCCTAGATCTGTAACACTTTAATCATTGACTTAGACTGATTGTATATGATCATTCAGAATAAGCCAAGTGTTTAGACCTTCAAATTGATGAAAGCAGACAAACGCAACATTTTAAATATAGAGTGCACAAAAGAGGTGTATTAATTATGTGATGCAGCAGTTGGAGAGAAGTTTGCATGGTGGGTTGACTGCATGCCCAGATACAATTTAAATGCAAGTAATATGCTTAGAACTTAAAATCCCAAGGGTGAAAGTTGGATTCATAAATCACAGCCATGCTCTTTTGTAATACAGTATCCAGCACTTGCTTAAGTAGAAAGCAAGTAGCTCATTGAAAGAAAGAAAAAAAGGAGAAGGAAGATCAGGAAGAGGGAGACAGATGAAATGTTAATTATTTCAGAATTAAGCAATATGTGGAACAAGCAGCTTGTGGTAGGATTTCCTATCATTTTAAGCTTGGTAATAGGAATAAATTCAGATCTGCAATACAGTCATTTTAATTCTATTCTACTTGTGCTATGGCTTCCATCTAAATGCTGTTTCCGAAAGCTCATACTTTCTTTGAAGGGAGAAAATGCAGCCTTGGATATAAGGAGCCCAGGTTCTGGGTGGTGAAATAATTGATGGTTTTGAAAAGGTTTGCACTCTTCTCCAGCAATGCTATCCTGATTCAAATTAGATGTTCCTTTTTTCACATCCTTGACTGTCTAATTTTTTATAAAACCTGACTGTGGATCCTCCACATCAAACATATAGTATGGTTTGTATGAATGGAAGATACTTCATACTTGGAGCCATTTTAAATCACATCCTGTAGCAGCTATCTCTGTGTGACAAATCATTAGTATTCATTTTATTAGTGGATAGAGCAAACTTCATATGTTGACCATCTATGTGTACTTGACATAAAGAATGCTGTTTTCTTCTTCTCTCCCTTTCTTAATTTTTCTGATATCTGAGTACTGTCTTTATGATGTGATTGGTGATACTATATTGTGATGACCCGGAGTGTAACAAAAACGTAACAAAATCCAAAACATAAATAAATGTCCTTTAATGCCTCCAACTTGGCCCCACTGTTCAATAATTCTCAGTTGGAGATAAAACTTATTCAAAAATAGTCTTCAAAAGAAAGCAATACAGTCCAGACTTAATGAGCAGATAAAGGTGAAATAAAAAACCAAAACAAACTACAATGAAGGAAATTACCAACTTCAAGGAGATAACAAGGCACAGTCTGTTGGAAGGACGCCAACCAAGATAACTTCAGCCCAAAATAAAACACACTTTGCTTTTGGCAATGCTGTGTTTTAACTGTCTCTCTTATATTCTATTCTCCCAAGCTGCAACCAATGAGGGGGATCATGGCCACCTCTCGTAAGCAAAGTTGTTTCCTTCTCCGTTCCTCCCTGCGTGTCCTAGGATGAAGAGGAGATGGACCTGGTTCTTCTTCTGACTGCCCAGTTGGTCTTTGCCCTTCCTCAGCCTCCTCCACAACCTCCAAAGCCACACCTCCACTCCATGTTGGCTGTTCCTCTTCTCCCTCAGAGTCTGACTCTAACAAGGGCATGATATATATTTTGTGTTTCTTGGTAGACTGGTTAAAGGACTTTTCAGCTCATTGAACCCTTCATGAGGTTTAAAACCCCCAAATAATATTATATAAAAATAATTTAAGAACTAATACTTTAAATAATAATCATGTTGATGAGAAAGACAATTTTTTTTGAATATTGGACATTGCAATACCTGGACATAGCGGAAGAGAAGAGAAAGAATAGATAAAATTTAAAAATATAAAGACCTGCAAATAGAAGTAGAACAACTATGATAAAAGAAAGCAATGATAGTACCAATAGAATAGGACTCCTGAGTGCAATCCTAGAACATTTGGAGCATGACTTGAATGCCATTAGTATGACAAAACCACCATCAGTCAATTATAAAAGGCAGATTTCCATAGAACAGATTTCCTGCAACAGTACTTTTTACACTTCTAAACAATTTCTGCCTTTACCAACTTGATTGGTGGATAAAAATACCAAACCAGTTTAAAAGCTGGCTGACTGTATGGCAAATCATAGTGATGGATAGTCTCATCAAGCCTTGGAGATCAATATTGGTCATTATGGGGAACCCTGTGTTACATCTACAGTGTTTCTTGGGTTCAAATCTCTTAGTATGGAATGCTTCTTAAGGAATCAGAGATTTCAGTTTGCTGTATTTGGACGGGAAAATATTTTTTATACATTGTGATACCTTAATTTATTTTCAGGATTTTATTGTTTGAAATCCAAGTACCATGAGATGGGGTGAGCTCCTTTTACTTGCCTTGGCTCCTGCCACCTAGCAGTTCAAAAAGGATGCAAATTAAAGTAGATAAATATATAGCACTTCGGTGGGAAGGTAACCATGTTCCTTGTGCCTCAGTATATATCATGGCAGCCACATGACCACAAAGCATCTTTGGACAATGCTGGCTCCCCCAGCTAGGAAATGGAAATGAGACCCATCTACATTTACATTTACATTTACATTTGATTTGATTTGTCAGTCGCTTACAAGATACAGATATAAGAGTAAATATAGTTTTGAATACATGAGATAGATACTTATAAGAAAAATAAAAAACAATAGGACAGGGACGGTAGGCACGATTGGTGCGCTTATGCACGCCCCCTTACAGGCCTACCTGTACCATCCTTATACTACCCCTACCATCCTCTAGAGACAGACACAACTGGACAGGGAAAATCTTTACTTTTATCTTTCACTTTGTATTGAATAGGATAGATCCTTTCAGAGTTTTGTTTGTGTTACAGAATTCATTTAAAAATCAGCTAATATACAGTAGTATATATTTGGAATTGTTTGATCCTTCAGGTTTGATTCAATGCCTTTAGAAATTATGTTCATACTTCATGATGGCATAATATTTCTGTTTCTTTACTCAAATAAAATATTTTGTATGACTAAACCATCTCTAATTTCCTCTGCTTACTTACACAGGAACTACCTCTTCAGACTTAGTCTACACAATGTTTCTCTTATTCAGGTATGTTCAGTCTTTTTCTGTCATCTACTTGTTCTGATTATAGAATTAAAAAGCTATATAACATGTTTTTATAAAAACCAATAAACTATATAATAACAGTTATTACGAATGTGAATTGATAGACTTACATAACTCCTGTTTTGAAAAAAATTAGTTGTGTTGCTTTGTTTTGTAATGTATTTTAAATGTAATGTTTTTGTCATTTACAGCCATGTGTATTTTACTTTGAGAAGGTAGAGCTAAAGTATGAAAAATGTTCTTGCCCTTTTCGAGCTCAACACTTTAGCTTTGGTCTGTTGACTCAAAGAGGGATAGATGGATGACAAGAAAGGACAACGTGTTAAAAGCATGGAGGGTTTTGTGATAGATAGCTAGTGCAAGGTTAACTAAAACAATGTAAATACTGTAAATCCTTAGCTTTCCTTAATGCAACGAAGGTAGCTTCCAAAGGAGGTCTTCTCTGTTCTCGTTCATCATTGCTTTGAGCTTTTGTTGGCCCTAGTATGAACACAAAATGCTGAGGAGTGAGTTTTGCTAAGTTCCTCAGCTGCTCAACCTGTAAACCTTTCAGAAGGAAATGCTGTTCACAGTATATGTCATTCCTGTTCTGCCAACAAGGCCATAACAAAGTGTACCAAGAATCAGTGGTCTGAAACTTTCCTAAAGTTTGCTCTGACTTTTTGTTAAAATGATCACTATAACAACTGCAAATAGAGCCGGGTCAGCGTTTCTGTTGTTTAAAGTCATGAAACTGTACGTGAGTTACAGCTGTGCATGTGACATATTCTATTGTTTGAGAATTATTGAGGTGATGTGCTTCAAGCAGGTAATCACAACTCGTATTCAAGCTTGTTGGATAGCTGTTGCAAAAGCAAGACAAAATCAGTATCAGTTTTGGGAGGTAATAGATTTGGTTGCTCTAATGAAGAGGAAAAGGAGGCTGAATTAGAACAAGATGAGAGGTGGTTTCTGAACATTGCAGTAAGATACAGAAGAAGGCAAAGCTACTCTATAATACCAGAAGAATACAATAGTGTTGTAGAAATTGAAATATTTATCTTTGGGGTTTTTTTGCTTACTTGAACTGATTCTTAAACAACGACACAGATTCCAGCAATGTTAATTAAGAATTTGCTGTCACAAATTCTGTCACATTTGCTGTGAATGGGTTGAGGAAGAGGAATAATGTGCTGTGTGTTCACATACATAAAAAAGTTAGTAGAGTTTCTTTAGCTGCTCACTTCAAAAGAATTACAAATCTACCATTGATTTAAAATGTTTTTCAAATAAGGGTATTCATTGAATAATTCAATCCTTAATGCAGGAAGATTTTTATTTATCTTTAGTTAAGAGATAGAAACAGTTCTTATATTTCTCTTGGTTACAATTATCAATAGCAGAGATACTTGCATGTATGTTCCTTGAAAGTTATATATATTACTAACAGATCTTCCTCATAACTCATTCAAAGAAAAGTGGGAGTTGCTATTGTCTAACTATAAACCTGAGTCTTGGAGATCTGGGATTTCTCTTAGCATAATTGAGGTCTCAAGTCATTCCATGTAGCCTTCCAACATTTTCTGTATAGCGTTCAATTTCTAACAATGAAGAATGGAAAGGTTTTAAGAACATGAACAGTCTTAACAATTGTATTTTATTTAATTTTATTAATTACATTTATAACCTGTCTTGTGTCTAGAATCTCCTGGCAATAAACATCTCATTTTCTTCCTCAGTTTATTTTTCTCATAGTACTTTGTTGGATTGAACTATCAAAATGGTATAACTAGTCCACCTGTTTGACACAATTAGTCCTTTTTTCAATCTCAGATAACAAAACATCAACAACCCTCCAAACAGACTATTGTTTTATAGAAGTGCCTGAGAAATACCTGTTCCAAAATGGATCCTTATCTCACAAACAAGCAACAACAAATTGTGTAACCTTGGGATATTCCTAAATTACCCTCAGTTTAACAGCCATTGCTTTAAGCTAGGGGTGTCAAACTCAAGGCCTGGGGACTGGATCCAGCCCACAGGGTGCTTAGATCTGGTCCGCAGGGCTGCCCTGGAAATAGCAAAGAACCAGCCCATAGGGTCTCTCCGTGCAGTCCTCCTGAGCTCTGTTTTCATTGGTTCATAGAGATAATAATTGGGCCAAAGTTATCCAAGGAGCATCCATGACTGAAGGTGGGATTAAAATCCAAGTTTTCCCAGTTTTCATTCTAACCTTTAAACATTACAGCACTCTTGTACTTAGTTTAATATATTAAATCAGAACCAGTCTTTCTTTTGTGCCAGTGGCCCCCAACCTTTTAGGAACCAGGGACCGCTTCCGTGGAGAAAGATTTTTCTGTGGACTGGAGCGAGCATGGTTTTGTATGGTGCCTGCATTCCACAGATGGGGCTTCACTTGTTTGTGCTGTCTAGTGGTTGGCATGTCATGGATCGATGCTGGTCCACGGACTGCAAGCTGGGTCCCCCTTTTCTATGGTGCTTATTTTTTGGTGCTATATATAGTCTCCAGCATGGTACAGCATGGTCAAAGGGAGCCCTTGGCCAGAAAAATCTTATGGTCTTATATCTTGCTTTGAAGGGTGGAATTCAGCTTGATAAGATCATCTGTGATTCAAGATCCGTTTCATAATTCTTCAGGGGAAGAGATCCATGACTATCCAGTTGTTGTGGAACATAATGTCCATCAGTCTGAACCCTTGATAATTTTTTTCTGGGTGTAATAATAATAATAAAAGATCACAATGGCAATCACGTTCACAAATTACACTTGTGAAAGGGGGGGAGTTTTAATCAAAAGGTTGGAGCTATTATCTTTTTGTTTTGGTTTGGTTTTTAATTTAAACTATCATCCTACCTGGATTCCAAAGTTCATTATATGTGGTTGAGGTAGATTTTGGCCCCAGGAAATCATTTAAGTCTTACAACATTGCTTGAAGCTCTATTTCTCTACAACTAGTGAAGAGTATTAAAAGAAAGCAGATGAACTTCGCTTAAAAAAATCTTGTTTTATTAAAGGTTCTTGTTAAATTAAAGGGCATTTTATAAAAAAAATACCATATGATTTAAAATACAGTTGGATTGAGGCTTCTATTTTTTCTGCTAGAATATCCTAGTTTTTCTTGGGTGTTCAAAAAAAGCCTTGTTATCAGGGCACTTCCAACACTAAGTCGAGGTTTCGTTTGTTCTCTCTCTTTATTTTTCTCTCTCTCTTCTGAAAAAAAAAAAACTTAAAGAGAAATAAAGCGGTTTCAAGCGCACAGCTGTCAAAGTAAGTATTTTGAAATATAGCTGCTATCTATCAGAAACGATGTTAAAGCTAGGCCTGAGAGATCCTCTTTTTCTCCTTTAATCAGAAAGCTAACATTTTCTGCTATTTAGCATATGATAGTCATTCATCATACTTGCTGTAGTTATTTATCCGCTGTGTCACTGGGGTGGGGTGGGGGGAAAACTTCATACCTTTGAACAAAGAAGCAGTGTTATTTGCCACAGAATGTTCCTTTCTTTGTTCTAGACAACAGTCAGGACTGCGGTTGCTGTGGAATTTCCAGAGCTGCAGTTACATTCTGTGATGTGGGTGTTAATTTTTTATCTCATGAAAATGTCACTGCGAAACGTATTTGCTTTTTTATTTTTTTTAATCATAGGATATCTCTGACTTTAGCTCCTACTCTTCCATATTGATGGGAATATACCAGTGGTGGGATTCAAATTTTTTTTACTACCAGTTCTGTGAGCATGGCTTGGTGGGCATGGTGTGACTTGGTGGGTGTGGCAGGGGAAGGATACTGTAAAATCCCTATTCCCTCTCCACTCCAGGGAAAGGATACTGCAAAGTCCCCATGTCCTCCCCACCCCACTAACCTGCTTTCCGGCTGCTTTTTCCTGTGCAGGGCAACAAAAGAAGACCCAGCCAATCAGCTGGGATTCAGGAGGCAGAGAATAGATGGGGGCGGAGCCAGTCAGAGTTGGTATTTGCCGGTTCTCTGAATTACTCAAAATTTCCGCTATCAGTTCTCCTGAACTGGTCAGAACCTGCTGAATATCACTTCTGGAATATATCATACATCTCAAATTCCTAACAGAAAATGAAACACATCCTGCACACTTTTCTCAATGTACTGAAGCTTTTAGGGGGTTCAACTCTAATCCTCTGAATTCGTACAAAAAGGCTTTTTACTGTAGGCTCCACAATTAAGAGGTTAGTGGAAAAAGTGCTTTGAAAACAACATCCTCCTAGCATGTTTTTTAAATGATAAAATTAGAATTGACTGAGTAAAGTGTGTTTTTAATGTGTATAAAACTGAGCTAGCGAGACCTCAAATTGGTAGTCCAGAGTGATACATGTAAAGAGAGGTTTCCTGGTACATAATGATGTTCTTTCCTTCTGTACATCAGCCCACATCCTCTTAGTTCTTGATGATCACCTATTGATGGGAGGGGCTGAAGCATGGGTGGGTACAATCTACTCTGTCTCTCTTTGACATCTTTTCTTTTTTTTTTCCTTCTGACATCCTCTTCTCTCTCTTTTTTTCCCCTTTCTTTCTCATCCCCATACATGCTGAGGAAAGGATCGATCACTCCTGCCAAAGTTCCTTGCAAAAGGATTTTGAAATTAGGCTGAGAAATAGTAAGTCTGATTGATTTCAGAAAGGTTCGCTCTCTTGTAAATGTGCTCGGGATACAGCAGCCAAGTGATTGTATGAAAAAGATGGAGCTTCTTGAAGGTGCTGTAGACAAATACTGCATTCATACCACATTCATCTCTGTGCATGTTTCTTCATTCACTAACTCACTCACTCACTCGCTTCATTCACTCGCTCCATTCATTCATTCATTAAATTTATATAGGTGCTGAATTAAAATGCAACTCTGGGTACCTAGCAATAAATACAACAAATTTCATAATGATGGAAAATAAACATGCTTATATGCCTATCTGGTCATGCCTATATGACCAAAATTCCACAAAAAAACAATTG